GAGTCCACTTCCATTTCATCTGCTTATCTCTCGAAGATTCCCAGCACTCCCATGCCATACCCTCTCATTTCTTTTGCAATCTGGGCAGCCTTGGTAGGTTTGTTCATACATGGTGTGGACATTCTATGTCCCCATGTTTACTTTCGCTTTCATCGAGAGAAGCGAAGACAGATCGGCCGACTGGCTTCCCGAAGGCTTTCACCAACTGGCGTCATCCTGTCTGTCCGATTTCAGCAAGGAATAAGTTTATTGATATTTTTATATTTTCTTTGTCCTTTGAAGTTTCTTTAGCGAGTGGATTCGTTTATGGGGTAGGGTTGCTAGCTCTATGCCTCACCTTCCTTTTTTATCTGAGGTTAGGACCGGCTAGTAACTAGTGAACTAGTTAAGTAGGCGAGGTTTCGCCGACTGATAATAAAAGTTTTAAAAAAAGTCGCAATTCGTGTTATGAAAATTCCTAGTAGGTGCTTTTGTTTGTTGGACGTTGAGAGTCAATAAGCCGAAGGCTCTGCGTGACACACGTTTCACGTTCTCCTGTATTCATCAACAAGACGTATCTGAAATAATGGTTAAACTTGTGTTGCATCGATGATCCCAACTTGCATCGCTTATTGCAGAAGTCATAGGCTTTACCACTAAGCCATTCAGACTACGACTGACCTTTTGTGGGACGGTATCAAGCAATCAAAGTGATTTTCTTATATGGCTACCTAGTCATCATTTCTCAGCTATGTACAAAGTTCATCGACTAAATGTGCAAGGTGGCCATTAATCTGAATTACATAACACCGTGGTGCACTTTGTTTTTTTTTAAACTTCAGGAAAAAATTTCTGTCAGTATTGGGCACCGAGAAATAGATGGCTACAAGATTACCCATTGGTGACTAATCTGTTCACACTCTTGTCTGATCTTTTCATAGTTTTGAATCTTCTCGGGAGGTTGTGAAACTCTAGTTTTTCATAATGTTTAGACTTTCATCAAAGAATTAAGCCTATTACGTTGATACGCGCTCTTTAATCAACAGAGGTTCTGGTTTCCAGTTTAAAAGGTGCGAACTGTTACTCCTACTCTCTGGGTTCCATTATTTTTTGGTATCTGAGATGTTTCTAGAAATTTATAATGTTTATCTTTCCGATGCATAAATTTCAATTTTTTATTGCTAAGATGTTATGAGACTGTTGGTATTCATAGAAGAGGTGTATGCATATGATTGATAAACTGAAATCAGATCAGTGTCTCCTAACACCTTAGGATCCAATAAAAGTGTTTTACGGATTATTTTTCACAACTGAATTGCTGAACTGTCAACAAAAAAATCAATTTAAGTAAACTGTCATAGTGTACTTTACTATGATGAATTGGCTATTCCTAAGTCATTAGATGTATACCAGGACAGTGCTGAGATAAAATTTTGACACATTTCAACTCAAATACGTTCTCATTTGAATGATATATTTTTATTTTTATGATTTTTATCATAGTGAGTACTGAATTTTTTCCAAATATACCTCACAAATTTTAATGCCTCCCCCTGTTACCTTTTAACAGAGAACAACAATTGTAAATGTAAAGGTTATTAATTATTGTGACCATTTCTCTGATATTGATGTGAAATAGTATTAAAAACTTATTTTTAACTTGGAGACATTTTCAAACCATCGTTTTTTCATATCAGTCTTGTTCACTATTGTCCTTAGTCAGCCGAATCTCTACCAAAATTCATGATAGATGATTTTAGTGTATTTCTTATCTTTTCGTTGTACATTGGACTGGATGAGTAAGCTGGTGCTTATATACTGTGAGATAAATACCTGAGTAAAAATGTCAGTAAAAAAATCATTGTCATTATATCTTTTCATATCAAAGATTTTCATAGATAAACTTGTTGAATCAGAGCACGGAAGTTCTTCCTTTCCATGCCAAGATAACTTTAAATATGTTTGTTCTCGTACATGAAATTTGTTTAAAGTGAAAAAATAAATTAAGCGATAGTAGTGAATATTTCTTATTTCTACAATTTACTAATGTTTTGTATTGGTGAAAAATAGACAAAAAGTGTGACATAGCAGATCGATCAACATGCACTCATGCATCATAGTCAGCTGTTTATGAACACTCACTACTGATGCAGATCTCTTAAAGTGATCGTATATCCAAAGATGGAATAGCAATTACAAGCCTATTATCTAATGGAACACAATTCTGTCTTACAATGAAAATAAGCAAATGAAAAAGGTTTAACCAAGGCAGCAACGACGGAAACACGTTTTTCGAACAACTGTATGTCAAAGCTATATATTTGTAAACGTATTCCAGAAAGGATGTAGGTCCTATGATTATAATTAGCCATTGGTCGACATACAACAGAAATTAATATTCAACGTTAGTAAAACAAATAAGAGTTTCGGATAAGTTAAATAAAGAATTACAAAAAGGAATACCATACAGTAGTGGGATTATATTAAACGACCAACTCCCCATAAAATCTATGGCCGAAACGGAGGCCGTACTTACTTTTTGAAAGTGATAGTAAACACGCTTTGAGTTTTAGTTTTTCAACCGTCCACAGACGGTGTGCTATCATACTAAACAGGATGTTGAAATATGTCTTAGAATCCCAGTGGGATTGTTTTACTAGTTTCGTGATTGTTCACTAGATCATTTCATGATTATGTTTACATTACGACCGATTTACCGAGCTCAACGAAAGCAAGTGAACCGGTTAGCACAACACGATCTAGCCTAGAAATAAGCTTCCCCATCACATACTGAGGAATAAATTTCTGGGTTCTGTTTGCTGACGTTGATAATCTCTTCATGTTTAGCGTCAAAGACAGTATTACCTTCTAGTCCATGTTTTAGTGACAGATGACTGCTTGGAATTAGATACGAGGGTCTGACAAAACGCTTTTGTTTTGAATTCTTGTGTAAGAATCAGGGTGCAAAATCTATGTTTCATCAGAATTATATAGAGACTTTTAGTTTCTTCTCCCGACAGTTTTCCAGTCCCTGGAGAGAATCATTAGATTTCTCTTCTGACTTAGGGGTGGCTAACTCTGGAATGTGACAGTCTGAACATTATAAATAGGCTCTTTGTAGATAGATTTCTGAACTGAGTTACCATTTTTTCCCCTTTACATTTAACATCAACAAAGTGAAATGCTGACTTTGACACTGCTTGTTTAGTAAAGTTAACACGAAGATGGGTATCGTTAAAACTTTTTCACAGGTTTTCAAGGCCTGAAATCTCATCAAAATAATTAAGATATCGTCATTGTACCTTTTATGGTATGAAGCTTATTTAATGTTTCTCATAAGCTTGTATATTCTACTTTCTCTCTCAAGCGATAAAACAAGGGAGATTTCATTACTGCATCACCTGCATACCCTTAAATTTCGTTAATAATACTGAGCTGCTCATTGAAGGCTCATTAAGACAAAGTTCTTTTAAAAAAGGAATTTAAGATGTTGGCATCTATCCTATGAAAGTGAATGAAGTCATACAAGGTAAAGATGATTTGTTGAAGTCAACATAGGAAAAAGGGAGAAATGGCTGGTAAAATTTTCTCCCACCCGGTGTCTCGGTATGCTTGAATAAATCAAGTAAAACATATGTATGAAGAAGACTTGGATTCATAAAACCACATTATTCGCTGCTTCTCGCAAATTCGAGGGCCACTCGTCAGGCTACTCGTCATAACGGACTTCCTAAGCATTTTTTATCACTGGCGGGAAATTATTCTGGAATATTATACCCTTTCTAGCATATATGTAAGAATACCTGCCTTATAAACTGTATTGCACATCTCAGTTTACAAGATTTTATCAGAACCAGTGTGAAAATTGAGTGACTGCATCAATAGACTTCATAGACCTTTTGCACTCTATTGGTCAAATTCCTCGTAAATTATGTACAAAATGAAATCATTGCGTATTTGAATTATCTAAAGCACGCAAAAACCATATGAATTCACGTGATTTAGTTTTCCTTCAAAATCTAACAAACGCGTTTTTGGTAAGGAGATCCAGTTCATAGGTTTGTGTCTCACAAACTTTTATGCCTGAATTTTTGTGAGGAACAGTCTCGGAGAATGTTAACCACAGTATTATCTGTAAAATTTATGTTTATCAGCAGATATTACGAGGATTGTCGTTCAACTTAGTGGCATTTTCCATAAGTAAATGCTGCTGGATGACTATGCTTTTTCAACCATTGTACAAAACATTCACTATGTAGCCTGCAAAACAGTATTACATACATTGTCTAAATCTTCATGCAAGTTTGAATCAAACGTCGAATACAGCTATTGCTGTAATTTGATAAAGAAAAGTCGAGTTTAGCCTAACCTGTATTACTTTTATATATCTTCATTCGTTATTTCCTCTGATCTTTCGACGTTTGCCCCAATAATTCTCGGTGTACATTAAAACAAGAAAATTTCCTTTTATTCACTATTACCAGCTTGTTTTATAACGCAGTCAATGAACTAATCGGTCTTGAACTCCATACAGAAATTATTTTCTGTCTTTGAGGGCTTATAAACTTAAAGTTGATTATTTCGATCGATGTTATTTAAAAGTGCGTTTCCCTTTACTAATTTGAGAGTAGTAAAAAGAATGTTTCGGTGACAAGTTTTCTATTTGTTAAAGCGCTTGTAATCTTCAAGGGACCTTCACTGTTATGTAACCCTCAGTAATACAAGAATAGTAACTAATTCGTTATGTTACTGGATTTAGGGGGGTTGAATCCCCGAAAGAAATTCTGTTTCCTTAGAGTCACAGCACATTTAACTGTCAACAGAATACTCTAGCTACAGTATTGTTTGCCAAGTACCTGCAAATATTTAACGGAAAAATATTTATCACTTTCTGCTACTTCCACATTTTAAAGAAATGCCAATTTACTTTTATGTATTCCGTATGTCTTGTTAAATACCTGATTTTCCCGGTGATTTTGCAATTCTTTACACAGTTTTTTTTCTGGCTTTTAAAAAAGTAGACATGGATGGTTATTTACCCCGAAGGCACGCGATATAATCCACTGAAACACGATGTGATTAAACAATCTCAGGAATTTGCTGTTAAAAAGGTAAGAATCAATAAAACGTTAAATAAAACTGCTAATATACTAGTTTGACACCTTAACTAAAAAATTGAGATCTCTAAGATGCTTATGCACTTGATAGTGCTGAAAATGCCGAGTTTTTCCCCTAAATGATTTTTTGTTCAAAACTAGGCAGAATCATATGAAAATAACCCTATCGTACTGCGATAAATTGCAATTATTTTATTATTCACCATGGAAGTAAAGTCAGCAAAGCATGGTAAAATATTCTTATGTTTAAGTCAACAAGGTTGATCATTAACAAACGAAAGAAATCCGCCACAGAGGATTTATGAGCTAAATCATATGATATTCATAGCAGTTTGTGACAGTTTTACCACATGACATACATTACATCCTCATCATCTGCTAAGTTTTTATTGTTAATACTTTGAGCTTATACAAAATATCTAGAGCTCAGATGAGTGGCTTCAGCACAGATGGGTTTTTTGAATTATATAGGGTCACCAAAATATTCAGTCAAAATGTGTCTGCAGGCAGTGATAATATAGCTACAGAAGAATCTAAAAATTATATCCCATGTCATTTGAACAAACTATTAAACTATGTGTAGAAAAGACAAGAAGTTGTTCAGAGATATTTTTTTCGTCATCTACATTCTCTAAAGTTGCAAAATTATGATTTTGTACTTTTCCGTCAACAAGATCTTTTGCACCTATGGATTATATTTTGATGTTGAAAACAATGAAAACAGAACTGAATGAAATCCATAATTATTTTAAGCATAGTTTGAGGGAAGATCAAGGATCATGAAAAGTGACAATTACTTACAAAAATAAGTGAAGATCAATAGAAAAAAGAAACAGGTTTCCAAATAGAGTTGCCCAATAAGCAAAGATAGTTTTCGAAATTAAAACTGACCAAAGTAAGTATAGAAAAATCGCCGTTGATAAGACTGAATAAATATGTGAGAGGAAATTTAAAAACAAAAATAAAGTAGACTGTATTCCAAAATCCATGATAGTGACCACAGTAAAAAAAAAAGGCTACCCAAGTTTATTATGTGTATTTCATTCCGGCATCTTCAAGGATGCGCTAAACCTTCAGCAGTTTACAGGAGTTTGAAAAGTACCATCGTAGGTAAATTTTTCTGTCTTCGGCAATGACTTTGAAAGACCGGTTTGCTGTGATTTTGTGACCATAGTTGGTAAGGTGTTTCGACAATCGCAATTTTGCTATATCCAGTGAGATTTCTTAGCAGCTACATGGGATAGTATTCTTAAACATTTTGAAAGAACTTTCCGTAAACGTTCAGCATGACAGTGGGTAGCCGATTTATGCATACTGAAGTGGTGAAGTGAGAGAGACAGTCCTTCAGGCTGCCGAAAGCCTATGAGCTCCCTACAATATAATACTCAACTTTGATGCGGGAAGAGACTGAAAGTACTTATTTTCAGAAAGTCAGCATCAGATGCCTTTGAAGTCGAATTATTACAACAGTTTTCATCAAAACGACTGTGGGCTTTTCTCCATCTAGCATGTCAACAAATTGTTGAGACAACATGCTCATGATTCACTTCATTTGAAAGTGTCGGCTGATATAGTTCAGAAATGCTGAGAAATTTCCACACAGAAACCATCTGCTACATAATATGCAGCAACACCGAAAAGTTCACACTTTGTTTTTAGTAAGGTGTTAAAGTATTCACCAAATGGTTGATTATTCGTCTGAATTGCCATTATCTATTGTCAAACAACGTGATCACCTTGAATGTTGTTCAGGTACTGAGGCATAATTTATTGACTAATGTTGAGTTCTTGAATTAGTTCGCTATGAAAATAAACCGCTTACTGAGAAAAGTCGTTTGATGAAAAGATATTTTTTCTGCACAAAGGTAACTAATGGATTGTTATTGTGTGAAATTCATGTTTTTCATGAGAAGTTTGATACCATCATTTTGAAAGTCTATGCACACTGGTTAACCATGATTATAAGCGTAGCTATGACAGTGGCATTCTAATGGTTCGTGAGGCAATATACACCTTTTTAAAGCAGTTTTAAAACATATCATGTTCGTGCACTTTATAAGACCACAACTCCTACTCATAAAACCGATTGAGTGCATTTTTCAGCAAGCGAAATACCCCTCTGAGCTGTTTGTGAAACTTGTTGTTCAATGTGAACACTGTATGCAGGTAAATTGAGACAATAAAACGTAATTATGAATAATAATCAATAAAATCGTTGACATAATACTGGAGAGAAAACAGGTGAATTTATTTTCGATTCTTTCAATATATTATTCTAAGTTTGTGACATAATAATAGCTTAAACACTAATTTATCTAGATCTTTTACTACCTAAATATATACTTATAATCATACTTATATTTAATATAATTTATATTTATTCAACTTTCGCTGAATATAATGGACTGGTTTTATCAACTATGTTTAGTGATAAGAAATTCCTTAAAATCAGTCATTACCTTCTGTATTTTGAAAGGTATTTAGTGACACAGAAGTTTTAAAATTCAGCCCATAAAGAAACAAAATAGAAATTTTGCTTACTTTGTTGCCTGTTTTTATTTAGTACATACACTGACTGTAAGTAAAGATTCCGGTTAGAAAAGTTTCCACCACCGTCATGCATAACATAGATGCTGGTACACTAAATTTACGCTCTCCTCTTGTTTTGTTTGTAAAATGAGATAAATTCTTATACGGTAAAACACCCTTTATTTGTAGTCCAGTTCAAATTTAGGTGTGAATGTTAGCTGATAAATTGTGGGACAAAAGTATATCAGTTATCATTGTACGAGGATAGAAGTAGAACGGTTGTTGGTAGAAAATAATAAGCTGTAGTTAAATAGTGATGGCAACAGTGGTACAAAATTGGATGTTTATTACTATAAAATACAAAGTGTATAGACACTAAGCAACTTACTTTTAGTACAAATGAACTACCTTCTCTTTATCTGTGTAACACATATCTAACTTAATAAATGAGAGAAGCAGTCTGGTAATCCGAGACTCTAGAAGATGACGTCCTCACGGATGCGGTAAGCATAACACTACTAATGACTTTTCATAGACATAAGTGACAACAGTAACACACAATAAATGGTTCCACTTACGTACACCGATTAGAAAGTGACATTGAATTGATAATGGAGAATGAAACTATCACCTACAAAAACCTTTTGAAGACTTTATCGCGATGGGGTTGACATAGTGGTGGTACACACTTTGAGAATACGCGTTTGAACCTCGGTCACCACTTATGCCTAATAAGGTTTGATAATACTGGTAGTTCTCATTTTGAATACCCGATAAAGCTACCATAGCATGTCTCCTTTCCTTCACGATTCGCGGATATCATTTTGAGAAGTTGCATCCGAAACAATTGTTAGAATCTGTCAATGCACGTTTAGCTTTAGTCATTTACTGAGATAGAATAATAACAGACTACCGAGATTTTTATCACGAAATGTCTCTCTCACTTGGCTAGCTTTACAGACTACAGCTTTGCATTGAAGTTAGATACCTTTATTCAGAAGCAAATCTTTCAAATTGCATCATTTTTTTCTAATATTTTACTGAGATTGAATGTTTATGGATAATGGCTTCTTCATACCGTTTGCTGTATACTGTTACATCTGCTGGTCGAACATTGACAGAATGACTGTGATACTTTGAGCAAAATAGTCTGATGAATTTCTTTAACCTTATTAAGTATTAGATATCATACTTGAGCTGTTAAATTATTATTCTAAATAACTTCGCCAAGATACTGAGTCGAATACACAAACGGCCTGTAATATCAATTTTATTTATTCATATTAATATCTGATAAATAACTAAAAACTGTGTTTAGTTAATTTAGGTAACTACATCTTTTTAAATTGAGTATAATAGCGTAACTATTCTTTTATAGTGTATGAGTAAATATGTGAGGAATGAAGGTAAGTGTATAAATATCAGATAAAAAAGAGCCATCTCTATTTAGTTAATTGACTACAAAACCGTAACTATACAGATCTGCGGACTTACATGATGATGAAATCTTATGAGCAAAGAAATGCAAGGATTTGATTAGCGCTGGTCAATCGAAAGGACTAGTAGAACTTTAGTTATTAAGAGATTGTTAGTACATATATAAATTTGCATTCAAGATGGAGTGGTAATAGCCTGATGTTGAGCTGAAATTTCTTTAGTCTAGAAAATATACATTTTGGTATTCGTTAAAAGAAACAAAGATTGTGACTGCAATGCTTTAGAGTGCATTTCGACAGCGATTTTTGAAACTGTCACGAATAATCATTCGTCAGGAGTCAATAACGGAGTAACCGAATTATGGTTTCAGACCAATTCTCAGCTGATTCGACTTTATAAAAATGATAAGAAGTTTCACACATGTCGGAAAAATTAACTTTCCTCCCTGGTTATTTTGAAATTTTTCTGTTCATTAAAACAGGTGACGTATTCCTTGTTATATTCCTCATCATCTTAAAGGTAAATATAAAGGATACACACATCTTGTGAGTTGAAAACAATTATTAACAAGCAGATATAATGTCATAGAATAACATAAAAGGGGAATTGTTTTAAATAAATGCAGCTACTATTCGCATAGAAATGTCAGTAATAAATAGATGTTAAAATGAATAAAGGGAGAAATGAGTGGAGAGGAAAGGTAATTATAGGGTAGTACAATGAACAAGATTTTAGGAACACAGAAGTCATTGAACCTATATCATAGCAATTTAGATTGATTCAAAGTGTGTTACGAAACCATCAAGTCCTAATCTCCTGAGGACAATGATCTACGTTACAAAGTGTGCATTCGCCAGCACATCAGCCACCTGGTTGGTATACATAAGTGAGCAACAGAGAATCTGGAATAATATTGGCTCGTTCCACAACTTAACACTTCACATTAACAAATTAAGTCGGATGATGGCAAAATGAAAATACTGAAGCCTAAAGTAACATAAAGAATAAAGAAGCATGATAAAAAAGTTAAAATGATTTTATGAATAAAGCTGCAGATGTACGTTCTTCCAAGCAGTTGATTTTGCATCTCATTGTCTGGTTTTGAGCAACTAATTTCACTTGTCTTTAGCAACAGATAGTCTTCCGTTCATTTCCCAGGCTAACAGTCTGAGTTTCACTTTCCATGGCTTTTTCTGAATGTAGAAAACTTCATCAGTCATCTTTTTCATGGATGGTGACTTGGCTTGTGTAAGGCTAGTGTCGAGAATGAACGTGTAGTCAAATACCAGACGAGCATTCTATGTGTATGCAAATGTTCGGTTAGTACCCCCAGAAAAGAGAAGTCGGTGGAATTGTTAACAGGTATTATTCAGATAAAAACCGTTAACTGATAAATGGAGGATACTTTAGTCAGTTTATATACTCTATAAATATTTGGTCATTTTCAACGTTATGAATTTCAGTTAAATGGGGATTGATGATGAACACGTACAAAGTGCCTGACCATTCGACGACACATCGCAGACCTATGTTTCATATCTCTAGCAAAGCAGAAGTCTTCTTGGTAGTGTTGTATTCTCTGAACTGAACGGTTTAAATCGTAAAGCTTTCATTGTCGTTTCAGACATCATCAACACAAACCTCTAAGATAGAAGCTGCTTAGTTTGATGATGAAGCGTATAAGAACAAACCGCAAAGCTTGCAGTACACTATAAAATTATCAGAAAACTTATCTTACTGGTTAAAGCAAGAGTTGGGAGTGAAAGACAGACATATGTCACTAAACCACTAAATCTTATTCTGGACAATCTGAAGAACTGTAGGCTATCTAAATGGAGTGAGCGATTGATATCCAGTAATAGTTATTAGCGTATTTAGGTTTCCTATCTGAGAATTCATCTTAGTGAGGCAGGTGCATCAAGGGAAGATTTGGTTCAGTTTCCTTTCTCTGTATATATAATTTCACATATCACCTTATCTACTTTATAAACAATTTATGTACCAACTTCTAAGCTTTAATTCCATCTTGTTGATTTGTATCTGTGATAACTTTGAGTGCTATATCTTGAACTGCTACACTATTGTACTGGTCCGTAACTGTTTTATGTCTGTCCAAACTTCTCGACAAATTTGGTTACTAATTCTGATCATAACTATTCGTTGCAGAAGATAACTCTCAACTCATTATTATTAAAACTTCATTCTCAATGATGGAAAAAAATACGATACTCACGGTGAAGCAAATTTATCACAACTAAATCATATTTTAAGAAATGTTAGTGAGATGGGCGTATTTAAATGGTATACAACAAGCTTTCTTTTTCTCAACTTACTCAGGTTGATTTACAGGTAATAAGGGACAGTTTTGTTGAGGTTCTAGCCACTTTGAAATTCCCTGTTGAAACAAAAAATAAAAGCGTTTAAGATTACCCCAAAACCTTTGTGAGTAGCTAATAAGACAGAAGTAAGCGAGTCATCCCACTTTTCCTTAACTGAGGTGGAATAAGCTAAGCATCCGGTCAGTATATGGGTCAGGTTACCAGAAGTTAACAAACCTTAAAATATATAAAAGTGATGTATTATACAAAACTTTCATTTACATGCAACTGAAAATTTTCGCAAAAAGAATCCTAAGTCTGAAATGAATAATTTACTTGTTCATCTGCTTCTATTTTTTTAAATTGAAGAACACTGACAAACAACTTAATTGAGTTCATGTGAAGTGAATACGCGAATGTTGCTAATTATTTCACCGTCAGCTCTGAGATGCGATATAAAAAGGGTCAGTTTAATCTAGTGAAATATACTGTAATGAAATTAGGTTTATTGACAAGGAAGTATTTTTCCTATCATACATATTCCATTTAGAGTCTAGCATTTTGAACAGTCATGTGGCAGAACAGCACCATGTATTTCAATAAATACTACAGTGTGACTACTTTTTATCGTTAAAATAACACATCACTTTATATTCAAACAAACTGAGCTAGCATGTTTAGTTGGATTCTAGGGAGGAAGTGGTGACAAAGCATGCCACTTTAATCAAATTATAGAAAAAAACAATCAGGTCATCTATATAACTATACGATTCTCTCATTTAAAAGATAGATCTACTTTAAGCTGGGAAAAATTTCAACCGATGAGTCTTATTTTGCTATGCTTAGTATCCAGTGTACAACGACTCAATCTCAGCTGTCACTATCTTTTTCTAGATATGCATCATGATGTTATATATTCTAATTCTTAGTAATTCAATAAAATCACATTTCCTGCTAACAGAAAGGGGTTTATCTGATCATTCAACAACTGTCAATATGACATGATTCAATGTTTTCGTCTAATCACATGCAGCTTGTTCAAATAAGCTCTAAATTTAGCTACAAATAGATCTCATGATTTAAGATAAACAAATGTGTTTGCAACATACCAAAACTGTTTTAATCAGTGCATATCTACAAACTTGACAACTCATGAATGTTTTTCTAGCCTCATAGATATCTATGACTCTTCTCTTTCACTTTATTAAGTGGGGCCATTAGGTATGTAATGGATGTCGCCTGCTTCTTTCTAGTATCCTTATTAATGCGTTGCAGTCTATGCAGATTTCTTTGCAACGTTATAACAACAATAAATTAAAGGGCTTAGTTACAAGGGTGTTACAAAGTTATGCTAAAACTGGACTGTAATAATACAATATGTGAAATGAAATAACTTAGATGACAAAAGCTTCATGAAATAATTAGTTTGTTGGTTAATATTAATAAAAGGTTAAAGATAGATACCAAGTTTATTTAATATTGTTCTGTAAGCAAATGTAGTTAGCATTAGACACCTAGTTTGGGGGTAATGTAAATATAACTTCTTAAGTTACTGATAAATGAAGTATAAAGGTACCACACAAGTACCACCGTTTCTGTTAGTGTCAACCGAAGCTGGTAAGCTATTTTTTGTTTAAGAAGTTGCGTTTTTCAGTCTTACTTCTATAGCTGTTGAATCTCTAAAATAAAATACCTGCTTAGTGGAAATATTTGCATTTTATTCAATACTGAATCCATCGACCGATGCTCAAGTCTTTTTCTGTTTGTATTCCATATGAAGTAGAATCACGGTGGTTTATTTTCAGTAGCCATGCATAATGCAACGAGGTATGAACTTTGACTTTACATAGTATTGAATTGTCAACAGATTTATATACGGGGATGATTTCGGCATAACACACAAAATGGTGTATTTTTATTTGTCTAAGGTTCTCATAAAAAGGAGATGGTTCGGGAAACATTTCACTTCAGATTATTTTTGTATTTCTTTTGCACTTGTCAAGTAAATATTATTTAGTGTATAGGGCGAAAGGGTTCTGAAGTATTATTTAGAAGTAATATACACACATTTTACTGTCTATATTTACAATGATATGATCATTATACATTTGATCAAGAATGAATCATTCAGTAAAAGAATAAAACATTGTCAAAATCAATCTCTTGCACCGTAAATGTTCCCCAAAATATTGCATTTTGATTTTAATTTTAAATATGAAAAGCGTGCTTCAGAAGCTTTACGTGGGATACCTGGAAGTTGGATCAATCCAAGCTGACTGTTTTTTCCAGTTGTCAACAATCGAATGAGATATGATGAGTTTTCTTATTTTGCCGAAAACTCTAAAACACCAAGAAGAAAAAGTCAATGGGGGGTATGAAACATTACGCGGAACAACTGAGACAGGATCATTATAATGTGATAACAACTATTTCCTGATATCTGATACAAAGTAGAATGTGTTATAGTGTCGAATAAATCAGCTTGGAAGTCGTTATGTAACATAGATAGGTAGTAATTAGTCCCAATTGTGGACTGTATAATGCGACAAAAGTTACTGTTGATTGACAAACTGGTGAGTATATTTTTTGGAATAACCTGCACTTTTTCTTCGTTTTTCCTTCAGCTGGTATCAAGCCGTTTAAACGTGTGCTGGTACCAAGGAAACGAGGATTTCAATTAATATTAGACCATATGCATGATTGTCTGGATGCTGTATATGATGTGACAACTGTATTCGCAGACGAAAATGGTTATCCATACGACCACAATATACCGGCACCAGGATTAACAGGTCTGTTGGGTATGATTTCTAATGATTGACAAAAGTGTATATAGGATAAGAGTGCAATGACAGAATTCCGTTTTAATTAGACTTTACGCTAAAAATTTGAGTGAAACAGATGTTTAAAAGATTGAATATGAGATTAGAATTTGTTATATCATTGTAATTAACTGAGGCTTCCGGGTGATCATGAGAAGCTGCGTATTGTAATCAGGAGGGCATTCTGTTAATGTTAAAACTGTCTTCGAATCACTAAGCATTCTGATGTAGCTTCAGTTACCGTCCACTATCATTCTGTTTTAATATGCAGACCAATTACCTTGTTTTTCATTAAGAATATAGTTTGTAGTATAATCTTTTGAGAGAGGTCCTTAGATTATCTTTTTATCAGCAATGAATATGATGATAATGTCTTCTCGACGAGAAACCGGAAATTTTCCATACCAAAAATAGTTTTTAGCGTACTGTAAAAAATAAGTTTAAACTATGTTGACATAAGTTGTATTTATTTTTCTTGGGAATAGATATTTTGAAAAAGCATTCCTAACTTTAAATATCGTATTTATTGGTAAACGTCAGCAAAAATTCTTTTATTTACTGTCCTGTTTTACAAATTTTCAATGAATAAAGAATTTTTGCCTCCTTAATGTTAATTCATTTTAGATAAAGCGAAAATTCCCCGCCTCTAAGATCAGTATCTTGAAAATCTTACTAATTTGTATTGCCAGTAAGGTGTAAAAACATTCATGCAATCAAATGTTTGTAAATTTCAAACTACTGTTTATGTCTGTAGTTTCTCGTAGATGACAGCTGTAAATGGATTTTTAAATTTAAAAGCTGTCTTATAGAAAACAGATTATTCTTTTCGTTCAATTCAGGGCACAGATTAAACGAGTTGGCGCTAAGTGATATATCACACTGGGAAAAATCTGGAAATGTTATACTTATTGTATTAAGGTAATAGTAGAAGGTAATATAGAAAGTGCCTATGCGGCTTATTTATGAAATGACTTACCATGCTATACAGTATCGAAAATATGACGCTGCATTTTGTTTAGTCATAAACTATTGAGAGTAAGAACATCTGCACTGAAACAATCAAAGTTAAAAGTGATTGTAGACTATTTAGAGACTAGTATTGGAATCCAGCATGGGTGTTTCGTCTTATTTAGGACTGGTTAGTTGTATGTACTTGACCTCAGTGAGTGATGTCGTTACCACTGAGACTCGAAACTAGTGCCCATCGCTTCAAGCACGAAAGCGTTATCCACTAGGCCAGAGGGGAACAAGAGACAACACTTGTGAAAATGATTCTTGATTTCAATTCAGTTGACACAAAAGCGTTGGTACTTTCAGCTTTATAGTACACAAACCTTTCGTGTCATAGCCGTGTTGCAAGTTTACAATTTCTAATTAATAAACGTCTCACTGAATTTGCATGCTTAGTAAGAGTACTGGATGACTGTTTAACCGTACCACCCATCTCTGACTTGATCGTATGCTACTAGATGCTTTCTCCTAAGGAGTCCCAAAACAAGTTAAGATAGCCAAGTGGAGTTTTTTAGTTCCTAATGACTTTTTAAATCAAATCTGTTTGTGATGAAATCTGTGTTTAAGTCAGTTGATTTTCTGCAAACTCACCAAATAGTTCATCAGTCTGACCATTAAGTATCTGTTTTGTTGAGAAGAATTATGTAAAATGTGACGTAATACTCCAACAGTCCCCATGATCAAACTGAGATGTGAAACAAATAACAATATGGCCGAAAATGGGATGAACGGAAGATAAAATAATGTAAGAAACGTTTAGAAGTCGATAGGAAGTAAACTCACGTACTTAACAAATAATGAATTCGAATCACTTGATCTAGTACATTTACCGCCAATACTGAATAGAGTTGTAGATTTCTTCTTTAAGTCTATTACCTCCCAGTCTACTCAGATTGAACGCAATTATATTCGTGGCACAATATCGTTCATATATCTGTCCACTTTAGATTCAGGGATATTCAACGTTTTTTCCTACTTGTATCTCACCGTTATCGATCTGCTGAGTCCAGATCTACCTCCTCTACGTTAAACACTAAGCTTTTGCTAGGTATCTCATATTCGGTGGCTAGGATGTAGGCACATAACATCAATGACTTTAAATCTACTGAGTAGGTATGTGACTTAACTCAAATCTTGTTATCCTCTTTTGTACGTTTAGCGTGCTTCATTGTTTCACCGGATCCCTATTCACAGACAGAATAACGATTGTAGATGCTACAGGAAGCTGTAGATGACGTATTTCTTGAGAAAACACTGTAATAGCATAAAAATTATAACTTTAAATCTCTGTCTCATTGTTCATCAATCTATGTGTAAAAAATATGGGCGAATGCTTATTGTAATACATTGATCCATCAGAAATATTTTGAATAGTTTGTTTGCAGCATTTGCCTACGTCTATATTTTTAAGTTGCTTAGAAAACTTGTTCAGAAGTTACTCTAACTTATTTAACAGCTTCATTTCTGTTTCACGTGACTGTAGATATCTATGATGACAGTTCTCGATGAATAATTTACAGTAATTTTAGAAAAGATTTGACTTTACCCACTAAATTTGATAAGATGTTTTCTGTACATTTGAAAAGCTAACAATTTATGCGTCAAACTTATATGAAAAGTCTCAAGCAATTATTTTCACCCTATTCTAATATTTAACCATTATGTAAAGCAGGATACAATTGAGGAGAAAGGAATGAAAATATCTAAGATTCCTCACACATACCAGAAATTGTTGGTATTTTGTTTTATTCCGAATATATTGATGTCCAAATTTTAATTCCGATTATATTAGCCGGAGCATAAAATGATATAAACTTGCTTCAATATTCATAATACTCTGGAATTTTGCATCCTATTTCACAAATGTTAACTAGGTCAGAAAATTGATAACAGTGATGAAAATTATGCTGGCTTATTCAGCTATTTACACATCACTAAATCTGATAAAACTAGTACTTATAAGCAAATGTGTTGAGATTTCATTCTGAACTCGCCTGCATGACTAAATGCAGGGAACAGCGGTGATTCTAAGCGTTTTAAACATACTTATTCAAATGTCAGTATAAATTAAATGTTATTATAGCTTTGACTACGTTTCACGTTTGTACAACATGTGGTAATGCATAGTAGTTATAATGTCAATTTAACTTATTAAGCCTGTGTTTGTGTTAAAATCTAGTTTTGTTAGATCTTAATTCACACATCGTCAGTGTAAAGCTTTGGTGTTTTATAGAAAGGGAAACTAATACGACTTCGGCTACTAATATACATATTAAATCCTCTGTAGCAACCTTCATATTCCTTTCGTGATGTTTCTGGAAAATAGGGGGGGGGTGGTAAAACGATAGACAACGTTTTGCTAGATGAATCGCAAAAAAAATTAAGCGATATGTTTGCAAATATTTACGATGGTTATCTAAAGAGTCCTTCTCAGATTACTGTGTCTTATAAACTAGTCTAATATTCAATCACATGATCAGTAAACTTGCACCAAAAATTTGGAATGGATTCATCAGTTGTGGTGATCTAGAATTTCGGAGGTATTTGAAAGATCTGAATAATCACACTTCACACCACAGCAATTCCGGTCTGAAAAATTTCAAGGGTGTTACTATTCGTTTGAATTCACCTTGTCCTTCTTGATGTTTTTTGAATAAGTAAGTTTAGTATTCTTATTGTTATGGCGATGAAGCATTCTTGAATGTTATATCCTCGTTGAAATATTCGAGTTAAGAATATGAGATGTTCATTTACCAACTTAAGGGTAATAAATATGAAGTATATTCGACTTCCTGTCGACCTGAATTTTCGGTGTTATTTTATTCACAAGTCCTTCCCAGATATCTGAATCGATTTTTGCTTCTTTGATCATCCTTTTGGTTCTATATCTAAACAAAACAACTGCCCACTATTTTCTGATTAGTAAACCCCTTTCAAGTGATGTCAACAGAAACATTGGATAGGAATCATTTACGTCGAAACATGGAAGAATTATAGCAGTTGATTTTGGCAACTATCCTTATAAATTATTATTGCTGTCTGATAAATTCCCACTCCATACTAATGACCTTTATCTGCTTAAAGTATCAAAAACATGAAGATTTCTCAGTAGTCCATCCTGCCTACAGCATAATAAATAGAGTTCCATAAAGTTTACATGCTGGGTATTCTATCGATCCCACCATGATGTCATTTCGCAGTAAAACTACAGTGTTGCCAAATTGTATTCCAACTTGACTTATGATACATATGAAAACTTCCCATTTCAACCTGATATATTGTTACACACAGACTTCAGACTCCCTATTAGTTTCATTTGAAATGAGAACCGATTACGTTTGTGATTTTTAAAAATTCTCCAAAATTGAGTTAGATGATTCAACGAACTAAAGTTGCAACAAATAAGACGATTGAGAATTTTATTTTCCCATATCATTTCCTTTTTCTGGTGTTATCCATTATCTGAAGTAGTCAGTATATGAACTGGTGGGTATTTAGATAACGTAGAAATCTTCTGTTAATTTTATATTATTGATTTAGCTTACTTTAGTGGTTTTGTTAGTTCCGATGAATAAATCCTACAAAATCTAGCACCAACAGAATATCACTGATAGGTATATAGAAACTCATATCACCAATCCAGTTAAGAATATATTCGATCAGAATAGCAACAATCATGGACGTAGTACATGAACTTAATTTGGTGTAGGGCAGTAAGATGTAGTTGTTGAAAGCAGAAAACCTAAAAATGATGCAGATAAATTACTATTATTTGTTTCGTGGTATTTTTTAAATGATGCTTGCTCTTACATTTGGGGATATTTAATGATGAAGTTTTTGTGAATACACACTCATTATGGTTATTTACTACGTATCTTAACTATTAGGTAAATAAGAATAGAAAAAATTACAAAGTATTCAGCTGGAAGTGTAACAGATTTGTAGTTACTGTGTCTTTCTTTGACATGATTCAAGGAATTTAAAAAAAAGTTTTAGAAAAGTTAACATGGTTAGTCTAAGATAAACGTTAGTAGTGGAAACGAATCTATGCTTTAGAATGTTTGATATGAGTTTTGAATATCCGAGTATTTTCCATTTGCCCGAAGTTCATTTAACCATATATTTTATCTGCAGTTCATATTTATTCTCAATATGTTCGGATTATTTCCTCGACATGACATGCAATATTCTACAACATTTTACGTAGACAGAGTTTTTAATGTCAAGCATGTTCAGTGCTGCATAGTAGAAGGATACTTATAGACAAACTGGAATGATGATTTTTTATTTTAACAGTCAAAACGGTTAATGTCATGTACATTTTGAACAGATAAATCACTAAGGATTGCAGTACACAACTTATAGTGCTACCTTTTATATTCACCAGGAATTAGTGTTTGATCGGGAATGTTTCATCAATAGGAGAAGATCCATCATATCAATTCTTTTACGAAGTTAGTACTGACGAAGTCAAGGAGTCTTGTGATAAACTGATGATCATATACTGAAACGATAGAAGACAATTAACAATAATACCTCTGCTCTAAGCTGCATAAACAACTGTTCATTTACTAGATATTTATAGTAGTAACTTTCGTATGATCACAGTCTATAGAGAAGCATCGTAATTCTCATTTCATATTGAAACATGCATATAATTGTTGTTATAAATAGAAGTTTTTATTCATTAGTGAACACTGTGGTCCTTCTGACCGCCACATCTTTCTTTTTTTGATAGAATAGGGAATATCCCTGCAAAACAGTCTGGATGTAACACTGAATGTGTGATAAGCTAGCCACTAAGATCATGCTCGCAATCGACATTCTCGACAATTATTTCGAAAGGATAACTTAAAATAGTCTCAGTAGCTATTAGTAGACTTCCAGTACTTAGTTGAAAATTATTTGCCATCCGACTACCTAATATCATTACAGAAAGCAAAAAGTTCAGCGTGGGTATGTTTTTGACGATTTCATTCTCCATAACTAGGTTTGATCAAATTATTCTTGTAACCATCCAATATAGTTAAAGATAAATTCATAAAATGAGATTGTACAGATATGGAAAATCAAATAATCGAGAGAGATATCTTCTGTGAACTTCTCGTTTTCTTTAATTTTCTGATGTTTATTTTCATTAATTTGAAGAATACCTAATACTAGTCAAAGAACACCACAGTAGTGACTATCTACCTAACAGAAGTGACCAATACGATTCTAATTGCAGTTGAAATTAGAAATCATGACACAGATTATTTTTCGTAAATAATTAACTTAAACTGATATCTTTGTCTGGAAGTTCTGACTACAATTTTCCACTCTGTCTATTTCTGTCTTCAGAGTGGTTAAAGAAACCTCGAAGTTTACATATTTACTTGAAACGAATACCGATTAAACATGTTCCACATGATAAGGATACAATCAGTCAATGGCTTTATGAACGTTTTCGAATAAAAGATGAGTGAGTATGCTTTCTGTTTTTTCAAAACCTGATAAAATAAGTTAATTGATGGCTTAATTCACATTGTTATGTACCTTGCATTTGGGTCATGAAGGATAGAAAAATAAAACTCGTTTTCTATTCCTACACGCCGCGCTAGAAAAAGAATTGAAATTGAAGAATAAATTTTTTCTGTCTCCTTCCAGCAGATGCTTATAGGATTTTTAAGAAAATTTATTTCACTACAACAGTGTGATGGTATTTTTGAAAAAAAAACGAAATACCAAATACTGGTAAAGATTGGTGAATTCTCTTATGGTTTTAATCTTCATATATTCTATTACTGGGTGATGAATGAAGATTAAATGAAAATCTGGGCCTTGGCAGAATTCTAACCACCAACTTGGTGATTGAATCTTGAAGCTGTCCAGATTTTTATTTCATCTTAATTTCTTAAAGTTTAAACAGTCTGTATTAGTTGTCATACGTGCAAATAGTAGCAGTGTGAACTCAAATATGACAGTATAAGTCGTTTGTGATGATTTATTCATTTAGATAGAGGGATTAAAACAAGTCAGTAAGTCGTTTCCACATATCATGAATAATCCTAACAAAAGTCAAAGGTCAACGTAGGTTAGTAACAAAATGCATCGATCTGTGAATCCGAAGATAAAAATAGCATATTGTAGGAGTGATAAGTCAGTCTTAAGTAACAAAACACGAAAATATAAAATAATGAATGCAGCCCCAAAATGCTTGTCTTTTCTTACTAAGATAGGTTAAGATGAATAGGAATAGTATACACAAATAACCGAGAATTTCAGTCAATACAGTCAGGCTGCAACAAAGGGAATGGAACTAAATTAGAGGGAAAATTTATCAATAAAATCAAAGTTGTGAAACTAAGACAATGGTAACAAAAGAGGTTAGGAAAATGTCTGCGTACACAGAGACAAAGATTCTGTTTATGAATAACCAGAGTTTCTTTGTACACCATGAACCGTGTTTATTCACAACGAGAATCCTGGACCCTTCGTACATAGCTTCTTATTCGTCTTCTTTTGTTGCCACACCCTGTGTAAACATATTTGAAATTAGTTGGGTTATAGTGAAAATTTCAACTTTTTAGAATGATTTTTCAAAATAAATCAATCAACTCGAAATACTGTCTCAGCTGAAATCAAGAATGAAAAATATTTCTTTCTAAAATGAAATTTGACGCATGACATAACTCATGATAATCAATGCTGAATGCTTAGAGCATGTAACTAAATATTATTATCACACGATTATTTCGAAGTGTTTTTCTTATGGAGAGGGGAATAATTCGTATTGTTTCAATAAAAGGTCTCTGTGTGACCAAGGAGTTGTTAACTTCAACATCTTTTCAACGCCAGGAGTAAATCTACAAACAGTAAATAATTTCAACTATTTTATCTGTGCATGTTCGTTTGCTGGGTCATCTAATGAAAGTCTAAAAGTGAAAATATTAGATATCAATCCGTTATATATTTGTTTATTTACTCACCTTATTCCTGTTGATCTGTCTATGAATAAAATATTAAAAACACTGAATAATAAACGTAATTCTAGCTTTAAGTACTGCACATTTTGCACCGCTCTTTGAACACATTTCCTGATGTACGATGATCCCGAAGTTAACTTTTAAAAACTACTTATTGAACCATGACCATGTTTTGACAGAACAGTTTTGTAACATGGAAGTGACCAGTTTGTGTCTGTTTACTGAGAAAGAAATGATGAAAAAAGACAAAATAATAACCCCAGAAAATTTGCCAGGAAATAGAAAAGAAGTGTTTTAGAAAAAATCTGATTATCTGAATAACATGACAAAGAGGGTTGGAAAGAAAATATTATTATTATATTTATTTATTAGTCCCTTGAGTTCCTAGTGGAAAATAGGGCTTCAGTAGCACGTCTACAGTGACCTCTGTTCTCTGAGATCTTTTGAACCTGGTTCCACGACAGCCCACAAGCTCTCATTTCCTCTTTGCACGACCTCCTTCATGTCACCCCCGGACGTCCAACTCGTCGCTTCCCATGGGGATTCCACTCGAGGGCCTGGCCTGACGCGTGATGTCCTCAGTCGGCCTTCTCAGTGCATGCCCAATCCATCTCCACTTCTTCCTGCATATTTGTTGCGTGATAGGTTCTTGGTTGGTTCGTTTCCAGAGCTCCTTGTTGCTTATTCTTTCTAGTCATCTGATCTTCAGTAGCGAGCCAGCGTAAGCAGTTGTTGATGAATGTCTGTAGTTTATTGGAAATGCCTTTCGTGACGCGCCAAGTCTCTGAACCATACAGAAGCACTCACTTGACGTTGGTGTTGAAAATCCGTATCTTGTTCCATATGCTGAGTACAGAAGATCTCCACACTGGTTTCAGGCTAATGAACACCTGTCTTGCTTTTCCGGAAAGAAAATACAAACCCGTTAACAGAAAGGCTCTAAGTTAGCAACATCAACTGATTCTACATAATGTGTAAGTAAACTCCATTTCGTACAGCGTCGTTTGTATACGCGTTTATGCCTAGATAATAACATTGCTTGTCCAGTTTTTTAGGTTACCAGACAAACAAAACGAATATGTGGAGCGCGGGTAAGAATATCACTGAACTATCATGTCACAATTTACGAAATGACAATAAATGTTTACAAAATCTTCGATGTATAGGTCAGATGACTTGTCATTTCGTTTGTCTATTATGAATGTTTACTGAACACTTTGAAGTTATGATACATTTTTTTTTGTTGTCATGTAGTTTTATTGAAAACGTACAAAGTACATTCTATAGCTCTTCTCAGCTATCAGAAGATCGAAATAATTTCTTTCAAAGTAGTAATCACATTGATTACATGGATATCAAATCAGAATCACTATCAAATAACAATAATAATAATCATGATCATAACACTGTCAATATTGATACACCAAGCTTACCAAATGATTTTCAAACTATTCAGAAGCATCTACTGACCTGTTTCACCAGTCAAATGTCTCAAAGTTGTTTAAAACTTGAAAACTTTCGTCTCATAGACTTACTTCCATGTGCATTATTATTCTACGGCATTACTATTTACTGGATGTTCGGATTCGGTTGGTTTGGTTTGGCTACTTATTTCTCTGTGGGCTTATTTGGATCAATAGGTGGACAAATTTATATGCATTTCGCAATTTGATATTCATAACTTTGTTGTTAATAATTAATCACTTTAGCATAATTATCCATATGATGTAAAAGACGGCGATCATCAACAAATGTTAAGAGTATACTTTCGTTGACACCCAAAGGTAACACTGTTGCAAAACATTTTGATTTGTCGTGTAAACAGTACATTCATTAGTCTGCAGAATGTTTGGGTGAAAACAATACTGAAAACTGAAAGCATTGTCTTCTTCTACATTTAATCATTTAGTTATCCAAGTGGTACAGAAGTGTTTTCTTTCTAAAATATGTCTATTTGAAAAATGTGCTTGTATTTGTGCTGTAAATTATCATCACTTTTCAGATCTTATTGTACAAGTTGTAGAACCTGATAGAATTTGTTGAATATTTTTCATGTTCAGTGTTATACATTACCATTTCATTGAATAAATTACTGAGCTTCAGAAAAGCTTTTACTGAATAATTCCTTATTCTGTTTCATTTGAATGCCTTGAATCATAAACTGCAACAGCAATTTCTTCCTTAGTAAAAGATATTTCGTAGGCAATGATATGTGTCATATGAAAATGATGTAGAACTTTGTACATGTTACGATAAGTTTAGAGTACAGGTTTTGCATTGTAAGAAAGGATATTTATATCTCAATTCTTCTTTTTATGTATTTGAATGGTAAGACACTTTCGTATGGGTACAATTCATTGCTCAGCGTGCTCTTAAAGTAGACATAAAACTTCCGAACTTGTTTGCACCTGTTCTAGTTCCTTTCGCTTTTCTTTCAAACCTAGTACATTTTGCAGAGGAGCCGGGTATGGAGTATTTATATGGCTCAGAATCGATTTCAGTGGCCCAGATACACTCATGTACCATCATCTTAATTTTTACACCATATTTCATTATTTGTCTAATTCCCCTCCCATCTTCCTCCCTTTTTGTGATTCCTGATCATATTTTTCTTGTTCCTCTTTTCTTAAAATCGCTACCTTGTACTTGATGTGCTGGTATGAAGCATGGGAGGTTTGAGAGTTAAGCAGTAAAACTAGCTTCCATGTTGCTACCACTTGACTGACTGACAGACTGATTCTATTACCAAGATTCCATTGTCAGTCATTGTGAGCGTTTTGAATGACGTAACTTAATCTACCAAATAACTTGCAGTTATTTTAGAGTAAAATACATAAATAAAAGTAATCAAAGAAGGTAAGTTAGGTTATTCCAGCACAAAATCACACCTAAATTAAGACTGGTAGGCTCTAGTTTCTTAAGTAATCTAGAGGAAACCTTTAAATTTAATAACAGAATCAGACGAATGGTTGAAACTTATTGTGGATGACTAAAAGTAACCTGATTTGATAACCAAATCTTTGTTTACTGAAATATAGCCTAAAATTTGCGATAGGAAGTGTTCTGTAACTATTTCAGATATGTGGAATTGTGAACTGTTTGTGAAATAAGAAAAGAGAGATAGTTGTGTGAATATTTTCCTACTATTATGAGAAGTTAATTGTGTTGCAAACGTCACTCAGTGAATAATCCCGTCTGAAAATCCACGTATATAACAATCTATCATAGATTTTCGACTGATATCCACTGACTTAGGAATAAGTGAATATATTTATTCACAATATGGTCTTGGTTATTAATTTTCAACAGCTAGATAAAAGATGCTTGTGTCCTTGTGTTTCATGTTACTCAGTATTGATATTATTCCACTCATATTGAAAAAATGCAATGCAGGTGTTGAGCTCACTCATGTGATTTATAATTAACATCGATAATTCGAATTATCTTGAAGATAAATTTTAAAAATGACTTGATAAATTCGAATGATATGTCATGTAGTGTATAGTTTAGCCTTCTATATTTAGAGGTTTTTCTGTAAACAGTCATCGATTATTCTTATGTAAAACGTGTATTTGTCGACTCAGATATTTTTTCAGATCAGTCAGTTTTTTAATAAGTCAAGTTTCGGGAAATGCGATGGAGTGACACTGAAACGTTCTTTAGCTATTCCAGTACACCACGTAATTTTCTTTGATCAGAATAATGAATACGATAATTAGCATGTAATTAAACAAACAGTTACACCATTTGCCGTATAATGTACGTTTAAGTGGATTAAGTAAATTATTAATCAGGAAAACCTGACCATACCTTTGCAATGGCGTATTATGTTATAGAGATCAACTTTTTGACCATATTATTGTTATTTAGTTGAGATAGCTCATTGTTTTTACCAAGAACTAGGTCATTTTCACTTCAGAAGTTCAAAAACTTTATGCCTATTTATTAAGTGTGCCAAAAATAATCCTTCAGATTGAACCACTTCTGTATTATTGCTACTGTTAAAAATTCTTTCTCAGTTGATCAATAGAAATAATGATGATCAGAAGTGAACCTCTATGGTGATTACCCTAGCTTAGTTACCTTGCAAGGAGATCCATAGGATTTGGTTGCCCCTAAGCACTACACAACACGAAACTGATTTGTCTCCAGTCACATAGATATATATATTCTCCCCTTGGTTTCCTAGTGGAACATAGAGCATCAGTAGCACGCCTCCATTGCACTCTCTTCTCTGAAGTCTTCAAAACCTGGCTCCACCTCAGACCAGAAGCTTTCATTTATTCCTCACATGGTCTCCTCCATGTCACCCTCAGATGTCCAACTCGTCGTTTCCACTTTCCGTTCCACTAAAGAGCCTGATATGACGCCTGATGTCCCCAATCGACCTTCTCAGTGTATGCTCAGTCCAATCCATCTTCACTTTATTCTGCATATTTTTTGGGTGATAGGTCCCTGGTTGGTTCGTTCCCAGAGTTCCTCGTTGCTTATTCTTACCACTCCGGCCATCTGACCTCCAGTACCGAGTGAGAGTAGGCGGCATCTGCTCAGGAATATCTGTAGCTTGTTGAAAATGCTTTCCGTGACACACCAAGTTACTGAACTATATAGAAGCACTGACTTGACGTTGGTGTTGAAAATCCGGATTCCGTTCTTTGTGCTGAGTGCAGTGCAGTAAATCTCCACACTGATTTCAGATTAATGCAGGAAGGTCTGTCTTGCTGTCTTTCCGATCCTGGTTTTGACATCCTCGTCTGTGCCGCCTGCAGCTGAAACAATGCTGCCTAAGTAGGTGAAAGAGACTACTTCATCCAAATTTCTCCCGTTAATGGTGGTTGATGCTTGTTGTTGATGCTGTTGTTGCTTGGGTATCTTCATCACCTCTGTCTTCTCTAGATTCACTTGAAGTCCCGTCTTCGCAGCTTCGCCTCCTCTGTCAACTTGTTAGTTTTCGCCTGTAGACCTTCATGTATATATATATATATATATGATTTGTAAGAAGTTACATAACTTGATTGTCAACCAATCCATGGGATTCCATCTTCTTTAAATAGTAAGGATATATTCCTTGGTATCATGTAATTTACAATATTATGCTGAACTGTTTCATGTGTGAATTAGTTTTTCAAAATATTTGGCAGCAGAAATATTGAATCTCGCAGGAAATATTTGAAAGCACTGGATTATATTTCATTACTTCACGCTGAGATGTACACAGTTTATACATTGATAAAAATGATAGTTCGCAGGCAATAAGTTTAAAAACTCAACTAACAGGATTAAACAGTGTCATTGGTTTATCTAAAAGTATGGTTATTTCGGATAGTCAGCGCATTGTCATTCAGTTTTGAATTGAAACTACAATAGCGTAGTTAACACAGGAGATATTTTCGTGTCTCAAAATAAAAAGTGACTGTGAGTCATAAAAAGGAACAGGGGAAAACGTTGAAGGCGAATACGGTGAAACGGTTTCCTTGACATAATAATATTTAAGACAAACAGTTATAAAAGAATACCAACACTGACCGATTCAATCAAATAAACAGAAGCAGATCAAGGAAATAGCAAAGCAACAAAATAGTTTGAATTGAAATAAAGTCCAAAGGTAATGTGACTCATAAATACACATATTTTAATGAAAGATTCCAGTAAGACGTAAATGAGGCAGAATAAACAATACTATCAAGCTTACTTGACTCATTTATTGGAGAACTTAGTAATCCAAAAAGTAAAACGTACAAAAATATAAAGTGAGTATAACTCAGTGAATTAAGATTGGAGTTTAACGTGAACTGAAAATGCTTTTTCTCTATTCAAATTCATGAAGGTGAATACCTGTATGGAACGGAAAAAAATTCATTAAACAGGTTAAGGGTCAAGAACTGAAGTTAACAAAGAAGTTGCAGAATAATGACATATTCCTTTCAGACAAATAAATCTCATTTCAGTTCATTGCAATCGCGAACATTTGAATTATACTGTCAGTTGGCTATTGTGAATGACTTCGAAACATCTACTGGAAGTCTTGTGCCTATTAAGCCCTTTATAATACACTACTGAGGCTACATGATCCTCTAAATAGTGAGATCTTCAAGATATGTTCAAAATATCCGGAGAACTTCATTTTTGTTCTGTCTGTATAACTGCTCTGGTAGATAGACGTAAATTGGACGTAACATATAAAGGGTGTCTGTCCACTTTTGATTTCATCAGTAAGGAAAAATTCGAAACATGAAACTCAGCCTTACTATTAGATATGTTCTAGCCAGGGAAGTGCTTAGTTTTCTGCTAACCATCACCACAGTGTCATCAAATTTATGATGACTGCTAGCATTTGTACTTTTTTCCCGTCAGTCTACTGATTTCTACCTTTATGTAGATTACTTTCTTTTGTTAAGAACCTATGACGAAAAAATGCAGCAAATAGAATCAACAAAATCTAGTGTAACAATACGAAGGATGGAAACCAGTGTGCTTGAGAAACTGGGAATTTATTCGAATAGTGAATTGCGAGAAACATTGGTTACCTTAGTCTCAGTTTTCTAGCCCAAAACATATCAGAATTCCCCAAAACCCATAGATATACATTTTCAACCTATTGGATGTCATAATGTGTAAAACACAGATTAAAGTACTCAGATGTCCCAAGGAATATATATCTAGATATCTACA